GATGATATCTACATTAAATACTTGACACATCGCCATCGTGCCGTCGTGGCATTTGAAAATGTCGAGATTTTCAAAATGAAATGATGGGTTATGGGGATTTTTCTGGTTTTGAGTGGGAATAGATTGTTTTGATGATATTTTGGTGGTCTATGGAAATAAAGCTTTTTAAATCGTTGTGGGAAAAGTCTTCAGCTATAAATAGCACACCCTTGGAAGGTCGTTCCATAAAAAAAAAAAAAAAAAATACCCACGAGAAGACTTCACATCCTTACAAATCATTAGACGGACTTAAATTTATAGAGCTCCCTTTATTCACAAAAATACGGATCTTAAATTGGAGATATTAAGAAATATTCGCTTAAACTTCGCCCGTCCTAACATATCGGATTTTTTTTTAAATTTTTTAAGGACATCCGGAGCTATAATCTCAGACTTTCACGCTATCTTTCGAACAAATTGAGATAGAAGGCTAAACTTTTGCACACGTGTTTAATTTTCCAGTAGGCAGGTAAAGTTCGTAAATGGGCCATGTAGGTCCACGTTTTCATATAGCCCCCATATAACAATACCTCCCGATATTTGGTATTTTCATGATTTTAGCGACATTATTCACCGGAATTGTTTTAAATTTGGTATTTGAGATTCGTAATGGATACTACAGCCTGTGACAGAAAATTGTCTATGCAGGTCCAGGTCTTCGTATAGCCCCCATATAACGGCGACATTTTAGCGGCACTATTCGCCGGAATTATTTCAAATTTGGTATTTGAAGTTCGAAATTGATACTATAGCCTGGACCTGTTTCGTATAAGCCCCATATATCAGTACCTCCCTATATTCGGTATTTTGACGAGTTTAGGTACAAAACCCACCGAAATTGTTTGAGATGTCGTATTTGACGTTCGTAATGGATGCTATAGCCTGTGACAGAAAATTGACTATATTCGAACATTAAAAAACAAATTTGAAACTATTCCGGTGAATAATGTCGCTAAAATCTGCAAAATACCGAATGCCGGTTATATCATCCGTACCGTTATATGGGGGCTATATGAAAACGTGGACCTACCATTTACAAACTTAACCTGCCTACTGGCGAAATAAACATGTGTGCAAAATTTTAGCCTCCTATCTCAATTCGTTCGAAAGACAGCGTGATTACAACAGACAGACGGACAGACAGACAGGCAGACGGACATCGCTAAATCAACTTAGAATTTTACGCTGATCAAGAATATATATACTTTGTTGGGTCTGACATTAGTATTTCGAGGAGTTACAAACGGAATGACAAAGTTAATACATCCTCCATGGAATGGTGGAGGGTATAAAAACTGCAATAAAGGATAAATGCCGAATAGTATCGCTTAATGAGGTTCCTCGCTTCATTTCCAGCTCACAATGGCCACCAAAATCTCCGGATACCAATCCATTGGACTATTGTGTCTGCATGATTTTGGAAAACAAGGTTGTCACTAAAAAATACCAAAATGTCGATCACCTCAAGCAAGCGCTTCGGCGGGAATGGACCAAAATATCGCAGAGCAACATTCAGGCAGCGTGTGACGGCTTCCTTGACCCTTTGAAGGTCATAAATCGTGCCAAAGGTGACCAATTCGAACAAATCTAAACTTATTCTGAAATTTGATGCTATTTCCGACATTTTTTGCTTTCATTCAATAAAATTTAGAAAAAAATTGAAAATTATGAGATTTGACTTTGTTGGAGCTGTTTTTTTATCTCACCCTGTACAGTAAATTCAAATAAAAAATTATTCAATTACCGACACAAGTTATGAACGAAATTTCATTGCCAAGAATTCAGTAACTCGCCACAGAGCAAATTAAAATAATCACCAAACACAAAAATTCCGCAAATCAATAAAAAAAAAAAACATTAACAAGCCAGCAGATAAATTATTCCATCAAGTTGCATTGCAATATTTTCCTTCCCCATTCTCCCTCCTTCTCGTCATCGTATCTCACAAATTGCCAATAATTACACTTGCATTGATTTAAAAATAATTTTCCAAATGGAATGGCGAAAATTCGTCGATAATGGCGATGGAGGCAATTTTTGTGGCTGTTACAACCGTCCGGAGTCCAAAGTATTTCTAATAATAAAAAAATTCGACATCTCTCAAGTTTTTTTGTTGTTCGGTGTTTTTTGGTGATGCTTTGCCGGCAAGAACGTCAGAAGTCAATTGATGTGTGGTGTTTTTGTTGTTATTTTTGCTTCCAACTAATTTCGATAATGTCTTCATATAAAAATCGAATGGCCAACATTAGCAGCAATTTTTTTTGTTGGAAAATTTTGCCAAGCGTTTTGCAGTCGCCAAAATTGTGCAGTTTTTTGTATTTTGTCTAAGATAGAAGTATGACTGCTTTTTAGGAAAATTATCCACAAGTTTTCATGTATGGCCGAAGGATGCCAGGAACAGTGGTTTGGAGAAAATGTAAAATAAAATAGATAATAAACCAGTAAAGAAAGCCTTAAAGTCGGGCGGGGCCGACTTTATGATACCCTACACCACTTTGCTAATTTAGTAGAGCTCCGCATAACAATTAAAAGTTTTTATGGGAGAATTCAATCATACAGGCTATGATTATAATTTAAAGATCAAAGGAGTAAATATGCCGAAGCATTTGTATCTTCTAAATTCGGACAATTAATTTGAAATCGGATAAAAATATATATGGGAGCTATATCCAAATTGGAACCGATCTCGATAAAATTTGGCAAAGATATTTCTGAGCTGTATTTTTTTTTCGAGTTCATTTTTTAATATTTGCCGAATGTAAAATTGCGATATGTTCAGCTCACGAGCCATTTTTCGGCCACTGCGATATAAATAGAAGACCTCTAGAGGGTCTTCTTTCTATAGAAGACCTCTTTAGAGGAGAATGTCAGACTCATATATCTACAAAAGACCTTTGGTGGGTCTTGATTCTTAAAAGTCGTTTAGAAGGACTACTTTCAATAGAGGACTTCGTTTGGGTCTCCTTTTTATATAATACCCCTTCCTTCCTTCCATAGAAGACCTTTTGAGGATTTTCTATTTATAGAATACCCCTTGAAAACTTCTTGAGGGTTGTTCTTTCTATATAAGGGTTTTCTTCCTATAGAGCACGGTCTTCTTTCTATAGAAGTATTCTTGAAAGTCTTCCATCCATTGAAGACCTCTTGTAGGTCTTTATTCTAAAAAGACGGCTAGAGGATATTCTTTCAATAGAAGCCCTGAATTCAAAGAAGACCTGTTGAGGGTATTTTTCCTATAGAATGCCTATTGAAGATCTTCTTTCTTTTTTTAAGATTTTGAGGGAGTCATCTATATATGGAAGGCCTCTTGAGGTTCTTCCATCTCTAGCAGTCCACTTGAAAGTCTTCCATCCACAGAAGACCTCTTGTAGGTCTTCATTCTAAAAAAAACGTCTAGAGGATATCCTTTCAATAGAAGGCCTAAATTCATAGAAGACCTGTTGAGGGCCTTCTTCCTATAGAAAACCTATTGCGGGTCTTCTTGCTTTTTTAAGCTTTTGAGGGAGTCATCTATCTATGGAAGACCTCTTGAGGTTCTTTCATCTCTAGATCTTCAATGTAAGGAATACCTAGTAGGGGGCTTTAGTTCGTTTTCTTTCTATAGGATCTCCTTTCTATAGAAAACCTCTTGAGAGCCTTCTATTTATGGAAGACCTTTGGTGGGGCTTGATTCTAAAAATAAGTCTAGTTGGTCTTCTTACAGTAGAAGACCTCTTGAGGGTCTTCTTTCTATATAAGACCTTAATTCCTAGAAGACCGTTTGAGTGCCTTCTTCCTTTTTGAGGGCTTTTCTTTCTATAGAAAACCTCTTGAGATTCTTCTATCTATACAAGATCTCTTGAGATGCTTCTATCTACAGAAGACCTCTAGAGATTCTTCTATCTATAGAAGACCTATGGAGAGACTTTTATCTACAGAAGACCTCTTGAGAGGCTTCTATCTATAGAACATCTCTTGAAAGGCTTCTATCTATAGAAGACCTTCATTCTATAAAGACCTCTAGAGGGTCGTCTTCCAATAGAAGACCGCAATTCATAGAATACCTGTTTAGGGTCTTTTTTTCGTTTTGAATGTCTTTTTTTATAGAAGATCTCTTGAGGGTCTTCGATCGTTATAGGACCCATTGAGGGCCTTTAACGAAAGAAGACCTAGTAAGGGGCTTTTTGGGAGCTTTCTCTCCACACCTATTGAGGATCTCATTTCTATAGAAAACCTGGAGGAGGCCTTCTGTCTTTAGTAGACCTATTGCGGGTCTCCTATTAAGTGAAGCCCTCATGAGGGTCTTATAGAAGCCCTCTTGAGGGTCTTATTATATATAGTATTGACCTCTTCATGACCTTCTTTCTGTAAATACCTCTTAATGGTACTTTTTCTATAGAAAGCCTCTTGAGGAGCTTCAATCTATAGCAAATCTACTGAAGGCCTTCTTTCTATAGAAGACCTGCGGAAGCTCTTATATATAAAATAGACATTTAGAAGCTCTTCAATCTATAAAAGACCTACCGAGAGTCCTCTTTCTGTAGACGAAGTGTCCTCCATCTCTAGAAGACCTGTTGAGGGTCTCCTTTCTGTTTTCAGTTGCACCTTTCATTTCATCTTCCGCGGCTGTTTTTTCCCCGACCTTTTCTCTGATAACTCCTTCTCCCGACTACTGTTCTCTCTCTCTCGCGCGCGCTTCACTTGTCCGCTTAGCGGTCAAATGAAACGTGTCAATGACGTTGTCATTCACAAAATTATTGTTAACGTTGTCCGACTGGTTGACAGACTGAGTGACTGTTTGTTTTTTCTTGTGCTTTAGTTTTTTTTTTTTGGCTTGTCATATTATTATAGTCTTACCACCTCTCACCACCCCTCTCGTTTCCTCTATTCATGACCATGTTTGTTTGGCCACTGTGTTTTGTTGAGTTGTTATTCTTTTGGATTTCGATTCAGTCATTGCTACTGTTTTCTTTTCTTTTCAGGCTGCCTGGGATGGCCGACAGGCCGAAAGACCATCATCGAACGAATGGATGGATCGATCGATCGTTTTATTGTTGGCTTTGTGATAAAGATGGTTATTTGGACAGCCAACAATAGCGGCAGCAACAACAACAACAACAGGTAATAGTTGAATTCAGAAAAAAAGTAATGTTGATTTTTATGTCGACAGTTTTGTCTTGCTTGGGTTCTGCTACTGTTGCCACTCTTTTTCCAATTGTCCGGGGGCCCATAATTGTTCTGCTGATATCTGTGTGTGAGTGTGTGTGTGTGTATGTGTCTCTGACATAGAATTAAAAAAACGGCGACAATGGACAACAACATCTAACATTCACAATAAATACCTTCGTTGCTGATAAAAGTAACAACAACAACATTGTGTTGTTGTTGTTAACAAAAAAACTCCCCAACTCCACCTTTTTTTTGCTACGAAATTCATTCATTCACAGGTTTTTTTCGCTTTGGTTTAAGGTGTGCTATTCTTCTATTCTTTTCTGTTTTGAATGGAAAGGTTGGATGGTCGGTCCTATTTGAGCTCCCAACCAATCCAACTATAACCTGAACACCACCAACAACAACAACAAACTCTATTGAAGAAGTAACACATGTTGTTGTTCCCGTCATTGTTTTATTTTTCCAAACGAATGTAACTAACCATCGTTGCTTGTCATCGAACAACAGAAACGAGAATCGCAGGGGACATGCCTCAATCCCCCCACCCCTCCCCCTGTCTTTTGTAAAAATCGAAAAAGAAGTCATCGTCACTTCGTTCTTTCTTTCACAAGGGCATTGAGGATGATTATTGAAAAGGTGTTAACTAAAACTGGAAGATTTGGTGAAAAACAATCTAAAATCTGCTAAATTTGGAAATAAGAGAAGTTGCTTATAATTATTTAAATATTGACATTTCGGGGTTTTTAGCATCGTTCTGATTGCAGTTTCTTAAAGAGGAAAAATAGCTTATTTTAAAACGCACATAACTCCTTAAATATTGACATTATGGGGTTTTTAGCATCGTTTTGATTGCAGTTTCTGAAGGAGGAAAAATAGCTTATTTTAAAATGCTCATAACTCCTTAAATATTGACATTTCGGGGTTTTTAGCATCGTTTTGATTGCAGTTTTATAATGAAGAAAAATAGCTTATTTTAAAACGCTCATAACTCCTTAAATATTGACATTTCGGGGTTTTTAGCATCGTTTTGATTGCAGTTTCTGAAGGAGGAAAATAGCTTATTTTAAAACGCTCATAACTCCTTAAATATTGGCATTTCGGGGTTTTTAGCATCGTTTTGATTGCAGTTTTTTAAAGAGGAAAAATAGCTTATTTTAAAACGCTAATAACTCCTTAAATATTGACATTTCGGGGTTTTTAGCATCGTTTTGATTGCAGTTTCTGAAGGAGGAAAAATAGCTTATTTTAAAACGCTCATAACTCCTTAAATATTGACATTTCGGGGTTTTTAGCATCGTTTTGATTGCAGTTTTTAAAAGAGGAAAAATAGCTTATTTTAAAACGCTAATAACTCCTTAAATATTGACATTTCGGGGTTTTTAACATCGTTTTGATTGCAGTTTCTGAAGGAGGAAAAATAGCTTATTTTAAAACGCTCATAACTCCTTAAATATTGACATTTCGGGGTTTTTAGCATCGTTTTTGATTGCAGTTTTTAAAAGAGGAAAAATAGCTTATTTTAAAACGCTAATAACTCCTTAAATATTGACATTTCGGGGTTTTTAACATCGTTTTGATTGCAGTTTCTGAAGGAGGAAAAATAGCTTATTTTAAAACGCTCATAACTCCTTAAATATTGACATTTCGGGGTTTTTAGCATCGTTTTGATTGCAGTTTTTAAAAGAGGAAAAATAGCTTATTTTAAAACGCTCATAACTCCTTAAATATTGACATTTCGGGGTTTTTAGCATCGTTTTGATTGCAGTTTTTAAAAGAGGAAAAATAGCTTATTTTAAAACGCTCATAACTCCTTAAATATTGACATTTCGGGGTTTTTAGCATCGTTTTGATTGCAGTTTCTGAAGGAGGAAAAATAGCTTATTTTAAAACGCTCATAACTCCTTAAATATTGACATTTCGGGGTTTTTAGCATCGTTTTGATTGCAGTTTTTAAAAGAGGAAAAATAGCTTATTTTAAAACGCTAATAACTCCTTAAATATTGACATTTCGGGGTTTTTAACATCGTTTTGATTGCAGTTTCTGAAGGAGGAAAAATAGCTTATTTTAAAACGCTCATAACTCCTTAAATATTGACATTTCGGGGTTTTTAGCATCGTTTTGATTGCAGTTTTTAAAAGAGGAAAAATAGCTTATTTTAAAACGCTAATAACTCCTTAAATATTGACATTTCGGGGTTTTTAACATCGTTTTGATTGCAGTTTCTGAAGGAGGAAAAATAGCTTATTTTAAAACGCTCATAACTCCTTAAATATTGACATTTCGGGGTTTTAGCATCGTTTTGATTGCAGTTTTTAAAAGAGGAAAAATAGCTTATTTTAAAACGCTCATAACTCCTTAAATATTGACATTTCGGGGTTTTTAGCATCGTTTTGATTGCAGTTTTTAAAAGAGGAAAAATAGCTTATTTTAAAACGCTAATAACTCCTTAAATATTGACATTTCGGGGTTTTTAACATCGTTTTGATTGCAGTTTCTGAAGGAGGAAAAATAGCTTATTTTAAAACGCTCATAACTCCTTAAATATTGACATTTCGGGGTTTTTAGCATCGTTTTGATTGCAGTTTTTAAAAGAGGAAAAATAGCTTATTTTAAAACGCTCATAACTCCTTAAATATTGACATTTCGGGGTTTTTAGCATCGTTTTGATTGCATTTTCTGAAGGAGGAAAAATAGCTTATTTTAAAACGCTCATAACTCCTTAAATATTGACATTTCGGGGTTTTTAGCATCGTTTTGATTGCAGTTTCTGAAGGAGGAAAAATAGCTTATTTTAAAACGCTCATAACTCCTTAAATATTGACATTTCGGGGTTTTTAGCATCGTTTTGATTGCAGTTTTTAAAAGAGGAAAAATAGCTTATTTTAAAACGCTCATAACTCCTTAAATATTGACATTTCGGGGTTTTTAGCATCGTTTTGATTGCATTTTCTGAAGGAGGAAAAATAGCTTATTTTAAAACGCTCATAACTCCTTAAATATTGGCATTTCGGGGTTTTTAGCATCGTTTTGATTGCAGTTTCTGAAGGAGAAAAAATAGCTTATTTTAAAACGCTCATAACTCCTTAAATATTGACATTTCGGGGTTTTTAGCATCGTTTTGATTGCAGTTTTTAAAAGAGGAAAAATAACTTATTTTAAAACGCTAATAACTCCTTAAATATTGACATTTCGGGGTTTTTAACATCGTTTTGATTGCAGTTTCTGAAGGAGGAAAAATAGCTTATTTTAAAACGCTCATAACTCCTTAAATATTGACATTTCGGGGTTTTTAGCATCGTTTTGATTGCAGTTTTTAAAAGAGGAAAAATAGCTTATTTTAAAACGCTCATAACTCCTTAAATATTGACATTCGGGGTTTTTAGCATCGTTTTGATTGCAGTTTTTAAAAGAGGAAAAATAGCTTATTTTAAAACGCTCATAACTCCTTAAATATTGACATTTCGGGGTTTTTAGCATCGTTTTGATTGCATTTTCTGAAGGAGGAAAAATAGCTTATTTTAAAACGCTCATAACTCCTTAAATATTGACATTTCGGGGTTTTTAGCATCGTTTTGATTGCAGTTTCTGAAGGAGAAAAAATAGCTTATTTTAAAACGCTCATAACTCCTTAAATATTGACATTTCGGGGTTTTTAGCATCGTTTTGATTGCAGTTTCTGAAGGAGGAAAATAGCTTATTTTAAAACGCTCATAACTCCTTAAATATTGACATTTCGGGGTTTTTAGCATCGTTTTGATTGCAGTTTTTAAAAGAGGAAAAATAGCTTATTTTAAAACGCTAATAACTCCTTAAATATTGACATTTCGGGGTTTTTAACATCGTTTTGATTGCAGTTTCTGAAGGAGGAAAATAGCTTATTTTAAAACGCTCATAACTCCTTAAATATTGACATTTCGGGGTTTTTAGCATCGTTTGATTGCAGTTTTTAAAGAGGAAAAATAGCTTATTTTAAAACGCTCATAACTCCTTAAATATTGACATTTCGGGGTTTTTAGCATCGTTTTGATTGCAGTTTTTAAAAGAGGAAAAATAGCTTATTTTAAAACGCTCATAACTCCTTAAATATTGACATTTCGGGGTTTTTAGCATCGTTTTGATTGCATTTTCTGAAGGAGGAAAAATAGCTTATTTTAAAACGCTCATAACTCCTTAAATATTGGCATTTCGGGGTTTTTAGCATCGTTTTGATTGCAGTTTCTGAAGGAGGAAAAATAGCTTATTTTAAAACGCTCATAACTCCTTAAATATTGACATTTCGGGGTTTTTAACATCGTTTTGATTGCAGTTTCTGAAGGAGGAAAAATAGCTTATTTTAAAACGCTCATAACTCCTTAAATATTGACATTTCGGGGTTTTTAGCATCGTTTTGATTGCAGTTTTAAAAGAGGAAAAATAGCTTATTTTAAAACGCTCATAACTCCTTAAATATTGACATTTCGGGGTTTTTAGCATCGTTTTGATTGCATTTTCTGAAGGAGGAAAAATAGCTTATTTTAAAACGCTCATAACTCCTTAAATATTGACATTTCGGGGTTTTTAGCATCGTTTTGATTGCAGTTTCTGAAGGAGGAAAAATAGCTTATTTTAAAACGCTCATAACTCCTTAAATATTGACATTTCGGGGTTTTTAGCATCGTTTTGATTGCAGTTTTTAAAAGAGGAAAAATAGCTTATTTTAAAACGCTCATAACTCCTTAAATATTGACATTTCGGGGTTTTTAGCATCGTTTTGATTGCAGTTTCTGAAGGAGGAAAAATAGCTTATTTTAAAACGCTCATAACTCCTTAAATATTGGCATTTCGGGGTTTTTAGCATCGTTTTGATTGCAGTTTCTGAAGGAGGAAAAATAGCTTATTTTAAAACGCTCATAACTCCTTAAATATTGACATTTCGGGGTTTTTAGCATCGTTTTGATTGCAGTTTTTA